GTGGGAGGGGTGGAAGTATGTGTCTTGGAGGTCAAGGGTGGCCATCCAGACATGTTTCCGTAGGAGTGGCATAATCTGCTGTAAGGACACCATGCGGAAGCGATGGTAGGTTACAAAACAGTTCAGTGCCCTTAGATCTAAAATGGGTCGAACGCCTCCATCTCTCTTCGGGACTGTGAAGTATCGGGAATAAAATCCCGTCCCATGGAGGTGTGGTGGTACCTGTTCGATGGCTCCCTTCTGCAGAAGGATGGAACCTCTTCCAGGAGAGGTGGAGAAGGGGGTGTGGAGACGACAACAGGAGTAATGGGGTTCTGGTGGAATTGGATACGGTAGCCTCAGGTCAAGATTGACAGCACCCATTCATCCGAGGTGATGTGACGCCAAGTATGAAGGAAGGGTGATAGACGGGTTTGGACTGACTCGGTGACAGGGACGTCAAAAACTCTGCTTGGAGGGTTTGACCTGTTTGGTACGGGAAGATTGTTGCCCGGATCAAAACCTCGGTTTTTGGTATGGAGGTTTTTTACCTCCTGAAGACATACGCGGTCTCCATTGTCTGTCTGGAGACTGACGACTTGGCGCACGCCTCTGCCAAGACCTTGACCAGGTACGGGGACGGTATTGTTGTCTCGCAGAGGGTGATACTCCTAGATCTCGAGAAGCCTTTATGCTCTTGTGTAATTCTTGGAGTGTGGAATTGTCAGCTATGCTGCCATGGGGGTAGGGGAGTTCATTCTAGGTCTTGTTACTTGCTATTGCATTCCTATCCCTGCTGTTCTGCCTTTGCTGAAACGCTTATCTCCACAGATGTGCCGGAGGTGTTTGTGTTGTCTGGAGCTCTCCTCTCTACCGTGAGAGATTCCTAATTCCCAGCTTTAGTCACCTAACGGTTTCCTAAGTTATCCCGCGCATGGGAGGGGACCTAATTGGCCCATGCCGGGGGGGGGGGGGGCATACAAATACCCTAATATTCTATTAGGCTCTATGGGTCGCCGCCATTCTTAACAGTGACTGTGTTACTGCATCTATAGCTTTGAAATAAAAGCATAACCATTCCTGAATGCGTGTACTTCGTTGCTAGCTGTGGGTTCTGACAATCTGTTTAAAAAAAAAGCGAGGGTGTTCCTGCACACCCTTAAGCAGGGAAAGCGATCAGTGAGAGAATACTCTTCGGAATTTAAACTGCACGCGGCCAAAGTGCAAACCTGGCCTGATCCTGTGTTGGTGGAACTATACCGAGTGGGATTGAATCCCGAGATTCAGAAAACGGTCCTGAGAGCTGTGGACCCCGTATCCCTCTCAGCCTGGATGCAAGAGGCAGTGAGCGCGGAAACCCACCTGCACACCCTTCGTCTGGACATTGCAACGGCAGGAGATCGGCCGACCCCTCAACCAACGAAAGGAAAAGCACCGCAGCAAGTGGTATCAACCCAGGAGCAGCGCATGAGGCAAGGGCTTTGCCTGAAATGTGGGGAGCGGGGCCATTTCGCGGCCGACTGCGCCGGATCGGGGCCTGTGAAACAGGGGCCCAGCAAACCAACATGACTACGCCCTGCCACGCGATCTCGATCTATGAGCAGAGTGGGATAAATATTTATCCCAGTCGGAATAGCTCGCTGGAGTCAGCCATGGCAAGGATGGTGGATAAGCCCCATACAGATCCCAAGACAGAGGTGGTGGCGGGGGTAAGAAGACTCGCGGGGGTAAGAAGACTTGCGGGGATCGACTTCTGGACCATGGACGTCTCGGAGACAAAGCGGCAGCATGTCTTTGAGAGGAGCCCGCGTAATCTCGGTTGTCGATATTGACAGGTTGACTGTGCAGACATGGAGGGTGACGCTACGCGTCGCATGGAAGCATATCGGTGCCGACATGGATCGATGTCGGGAGCTTCTGATACCATTGATGACGGGGAAGGAGACGGAGAAGGCTCTGCATCCATTTGATGACTTAGGAGCTCTACCGTTTCGATGTTGGAGTAAGGATACTCCATTTGGTGGACAGGAGAGTCCAAGACATGGATGGTCAGTATCGGTGGAGGGACTTGGGCCTCCGGTATCGATACAGTCATTGGAGCGGGAGGCACTTCAGGGGCATCACCCAGTGCAGCCACCACTACTTTCCCCTTCTTTGCCGCCTTAAGGGGTTTGGAAGAGCCCATCTTTGCGGACTTTTGTTCCTTACTTGGCCTGGATTTCTTTTTCACAAGCGTGGAAGCGGAGGATTGCACCGTCGATGCTGGAGGCTTTGGTGTCGGTTGGCTGATATGGGAGGCAGGCCTTGATGCCGGAGCCGTTGAGGTCAATGGTTTCTCGGCGTCCATTGCTGAGGAAGGATGTAGAGCAGATTCCAGCAGGGCCACTTTAAGACGCGCAGCTCGGTTTTTCCGGGTCTGGTTTGAAAAGCGAGCACAGTGGCGACAGAATTCGGGTCGATGAGACTCTCCAAGACAAAGTATGCAAAGGGTATGACGGTCAGGAGGAGCAAGTTTACTACCGCAACCCTTGCACCTATTAAAAAAGTCCCACTTCTTCTCCATCAAAACCAAAATGAAGAAGGGGGGGGGGTTAGCCCAAAGGCCCGACTGAGGTAAAGCGGCAACCTCCCCCTCAGCAGAAAATAAAAAGGTTTTTTGAAGAACAACGAAGAAAAGGAATAAACTGAGGAAAAAATCCAAAGAGCCGTGAAGCAAAAAGCCAAAACATGCGAACCGATCAGACCGATGAAGAAAAAGGTCTTTCCAACGTGGCGGTCAGAAAGGAACTGGTGGGATATCCGTGCCCTCCCCTGTGGGCATGCGCAGTGGGGTTCCTGCGCATACCCGAGGTCTGTGCGCGAAAATCCATTAAAAGAGCTTGCTACAATGCCGATCGATCCAGCGCGTGCGCACTAGATTCCATGGGTGTGAAGCACAGAGACCACGTCGAAGATCTTGCTTTTATACCAGGTGCTTGAATGCAAACCAACGATGTCCAATGCGAAGACATCTTGGGTTTGCTTCTGCCCTGCAGGCCATCATGTTTTTCTGACCTTCTCACCAAGTAAGGAGAGAATATCTGAAGGTTTCAAAATGTCTCTCCCTTCAGATGCGATTCAAACTACGAAACTCCCTCTTCAGGGAGACTGGTCTATCCCCGCCAAGCATCGCCTTCTGCCAGCAAATAAAGACTCCTCTCTTTAGACTAATGTACCCTAACTAGGGACGGACATGAACCGAGAAACGAACAGCGGTTCGAGCAAGAACCAGACCGGTTCGTGGTTAGTTTCGAACTGGTTTGTTTGGTCATGTGGTTCCTGAATCAAAAAATGAACCACCTTTTTCCCCTGGAGGTTTGTTAGAGCGGTTTGTTCTCCAGACAGCCTGGTGCCAATGCAATCATTTTCTAGTAGGCAACACTGGGGCTGGATTTGTGGAGAGCCCTAGAAACACCCATACCAGTTATCCATAGCTGTATTGGCAGCTCTGGGAGCCAACCACAGAGCTCCCATTCTGCTCTATGGAAGTAGATTGTATGTATATACCACACCCTGACTCAGCTGCTTTCACTTTGCAGCAGGAAGAGAAAGGAGTTAGTCATTGTGCAAGAGTTAGGAAGAATTCCTTGCTGCGTGGCTGATTTAAGGGGAGGCTAGAGCTGAGCTTTCCTGGGGGCACCTGCTTTGGGGGGCTATAACACAGACATCCCAAATCCAATCTTCGCCAAACTTGGACGGCTTGGGAAGGAGAGCCTGCTGAAGATTCCCTCTGAGTTTGGTGTCTCTAACTTGTGAGGGGGCTGTTCTACCACCTTCCAAACTCACAAACTGAATGAACCACAAACTGGTTCGGGAAATTGGAAAAGTTTGTCGTTCGTGCAGTCAAACAGACCACAAGTCACCACTTTCCCGGTTCATGCCCATCCCTAACCCTGACACTATGTATGCATTTATTTATCTATATCCCATTCTTCTTCCCAGTTGGGACTCAAAGCAGCTTAGAATATAATTTTTTTTGCTTAAATATCAATGTTTAAACCATAAGGGAAGTTCTATTTCCTACAAGGCCAGAGGTAGGGAGGAAGGGGGTGCAGTCTGGCACCTGCCCTTTTTGCCTGGAGTGAGAACACACACAAGAAGCCCCTCTCCATGAACAACTTTCTGTTAAAACCAGCAACATTTTTAACCCACCCCCCCCAAAAAAAACAGCATTTTGTAGAAGTACCTTCTTCATCAGTCGAGCTTTCCGAATTAGTAAATTTATTCAAGTAACCAAGACCCGAAGCTGGAGCAGGAGCATCGCTGGAGCCTGAGTGGTTGGATTCAGCAGCCCGGTTCCCAAGTTCTTTGGTTGGTGTTTCCTTGAAAATCCAGAAGAACCAATCAGTCACTTGTTATTGTGGACCTGGGATGGCCCCCTGCACCTTACGCTTTGGGAGATCTTATTCTGGTGGGTAGCCGTGTTGGTCTGAAGCAGCAGAACAAAGTTTGAGTCCAGTGGCACTTTTAAGATCAACAAAGTTTAATTCTGGGTATAAGCTTCTTCGAAGTGTGCATGCACACGAAAGCTTATCCCCAGAATTAAATTTTGTCGGTCTTAAAGGTACCACTGGACTCCAACTTTGTTCTTTCGGGGGATCTGATCACAGATCTCATGTCGCTCAACCGTTCTATTAACACGAGGCACAATCTCTGCACTTGTGGGAGGACCATCTTTGTTCCGTTTCAGTGAAACACATCAGAAGACACCTGACCTGTGCATTTCATGGACCTTCCTCTTAAACGAGAAGCGGAGGGTGGTCATAGTGAAGTCCCCCATTTTCTACTACTTCTACCAAACCAGAATGCCATCTCTGTAATGATCATGCCATTTGTAACTTCCACACCTCTATGTTACTGCCTCGTGCTTCGAGATCACTATCCCTTAATCAACACACCGGTCATATATTTCTCCTTATTCTAGTTTAGTAGTGGGGGTAATTTTTTTTAACTCAGTCTCTCAAGTTATATATTCTGAGGGGATTAGATATAAATAAATTACCAGCCCATATCATACACACACCGCCATCTTTGCTCCTCTTGAGCCACATAAGAATAGACAACAACAACAATACAGTCCACAGTAAACAATGACTAAGAAAAACCAACAAATAACAACTGTGTACTGACCAACCCACCCAAGAGCAATAGAAAAGAGACTTCAATACAATTCAATGCATGTAATCCATCATAGGACAATACAAAAATACATAATATCCCAAAGGGAAAGAACAAAATCCAGAATAACAATCTCTCATAGCCAAATCTGGAATAGATGTCCACAATGAAGTCAGATGTCCAACACTTTTCAACACTTTTCCTAGGTATAAATAGTGTTTCGGACTTCAGGTCCTTCCTCAGGAGCTACAAGCCAATCCTGTAAGTCTCTTAGCAGATTCTTAATAAGTAAACAATCATTCAGGTTTTATGTGGGCCAGGTCTCCTAAATATTTTAGAAAGCACCTGCAAGGGTTGCTACTATGTAAGTTGGACCAAACAGCCATTGCCTATCACTGTGTCACAACCCTGGTATTCCTTGGTGGGCTCCTATCCACATGAAAACATGAAGCTGCCTTATACTGAATCAGACCCTAGGTCCATCGAGGTCAGTATTGTCTAATCCGACTGGCAACGGCTCTCCAGGGTCTTAGGCAGAGGTCTAGTCCTTTTAACTGGAGGTGCTGGGGATTGAACCCGGGAACCTTCTGAATGCCAAGCAGAGGCTCTACCACTGAGTCACAGCCCTTCACACATCCAAGTACAAGCTAGTATCAACCCTGCTTAGCTTTAAAAATCTGATGAGACTGGGCTAGCTTGGCAATCGAGGTCAGGGCAAGAGACAAACAGGTGGATTGGTGTTTACTGTCTCTGCGTAGCAACCCAGGACTATCTTGCTGGTCTCCCATCCAAGTACTAACCAGGGTCGAACCAGCTGGGATTCCAAGATCTGATGAGATGGGGACTAACCTGGGCCATCCAGGTCATGTCATAGTCCTGCTGTACACTGCATTGGTCACGCTGCATCTGGAGTATTGTGTACAGTTCTGGAGGCCTCACTTCCAAAAGGATGTGGACAGAATGGAGCGGGTAAAGAGGAGAACGACGAGGATGATCAGGGGCATGGAGACCAAGCCCTATAAGGAAAGGCTGAGGGACTTGGGAATGTTTAGTCTGGAGAAGAGGAGGTTGAGGGGGGACATGATCGCTCTCTTTAAGTATTCAAAGGGCTGTCACTTAGAAGAGGGCAGGGAGCTGCTCCTGTCAGCAGCAGAGGATAGAACTTGCAATAATGGTTTTAAATTAAGGGCGGGAAGGTACCGGCTGAATATTAGGAAAACCTTTTTTACAGTAAGAGTTGTGCTAGAGTGGGATCAGCTGCCTGGGGAGGTGGTGAGCTCCCCCTCCCTGGCAGTCTTTAAGCAGCGGCTGGACAAACACTTGTCAGGGATGCTCTAGGCTGATCTTGCATTGAGCAGGGGGTTGGACTAGATGGCCTGTATGGCCCCTTCCAACTCTTGTGATTGTATAATTCTATGATTCTAGGACTCTGCCTTTTCTTCCACTAGTTGAACCTGTCTCTGTCATATCCATTTCTTCACCCCAAGTTTTGTCTTTTCCCTCCTTAATTAAAATACAAGCTTGAAAAAGACACCAGCCAAAAATATAAATCCAATGTCAAAAAAAGGGAAACAAAATGACAAAAGAAGGGTAACGCATCCTTCCGGAAACTCACAGAATTTGATCATCTGATAACTGGACACTAATAACTAAATGTGATCATTTCAAGAATACTCCATGTTTTAGAAAGCAATGTTATTTCAGCTGGGATTCTCGATAGGATTCTCCTCCTAAAATTCAGTTTCTATGCTCACTGAATGCATACCAGAACAAGCAAGCAAGCAAACAAGCAAAAATCAGCACGGTTGTACCCAAGCATGCACAGCCAAAGACATCAGGGCACGCACGTCTTCTTAAGGGAGACGGCTCCCACTGCAGACCCCACCTCTCTGTGCCCACTATGCTGGTTCTGAAGGCCCACAGACTGCCAGGAACAAAATTTGGAGGGGGAGGGCCTCAGGGGGATGCAGCAGCCAGAAGGGAAATTACCTTTCCCTCTTAAGAAAATGTTACTTTCCTTTAAGTCTTCAGAAATGTCTGCATACTGTTAGTGCAAGCAACAGAATTCATAAATAAATACGATCTCGGAATAGCAGAGCCTAATATTTCAGACAACACCCATAACATCCCAGATATTCTTCATCATTCTGCAACCCTCCCACAGTTCATTTCTATGTCTTTTCAGAAAACCCTAAATTTGCCGTGCTGGTCTCTTTTCCCACAGGGTATGAAAGGCACCTTGTGGCTATCTTATTCCAGAAGTAAGAACAAGAAACACAACCTTGAAGTTCATAAAATAGGTCAACTATATTCAGAATGTATGTACATATGCTGCTCTAACTGAAAGACCCACGCGCAAACCCCAGTGTGTTTCATAATTACGGAAATTACGGTTTTAAGCCCTGAATGATTTCGTGCTCACCTCATTCCTCACTTGGCACAGTTAACAGCAGAGTTTTAATACCTATTTATACTGAGCTGTGCCAAGCTGTACCATTTTACTGAAGGATGACAAAGCTTCATTCCCAGGAGAACATAACCATTACCCCAAAAGTAGCAAAACTACAACTGATTTGAACAGATCGACTGAATATCCCTGCCACAAATGCAGTGAAGGGCTATGCTCCGCATGGCATGAGAATTAAGAACTCCTGTCATCCAACTGGGCCCGAGAGCAAGTTTGGTGTAGTGGTTAAGAGTGGCGGACTCTAATCTGGAGAACGGGGTTTGATTCCCCGTTCCTCCATATGCAGCCAGCTGGGTGACCTTGGGCCAGTCACAGTTTTCTCAGAGCTCTCTCAGCTCCAACCTACCTCACAGGGTGTCTGTTGTGGGGAGAGGAAGGGAAGGAGATTGTAAGATGCTCTGAGACCCCGAGTGAAGGGCAGGGCATAAATCCAACTCTTCTTCTCCTAGAGAACAGCTGCAGTTTGTTTGTGCATGATAAGGTTGCCAGGTCCCTTCTGGCAACTGGTGAGGGGGACCTAACAACAGCAGGACAGACCTAGGCTGGTGCTGCAGCAATGTCATCAGCAATGTGGCAATGTCACTTCTGGTGTGCACCGGAAGTGACATTATCCTGGTGATGCAGGAGGCTCTGATATTTGGGCAAAACCTCTGTGGTAGATGCCTTTCAACACAGTTTTTGTCCAAATACCAGAGTGTCACACATCATCAGCGATGCGATGGCATCACTTCTGGTGCATGCCAGAAGTGATGCCACTGGCGATATCAGCCTAGGTCTCCCCCCTGTCACTAGTAAGCCCTCCCAACCAGTCAGCTAACTGGCTGGCAGGGGTGGCTGCTTGGAGTGGTGGGGGCCTGACAGCCCTGCTGTTATGACAGTGGTGTGGATCAGGAACTCCCAGTATTGGGAAAGGGGGTGGTGGTTAACCCTTTCACCATCCGCTTTTTCCCTAATCAAAAATGCCCCAGAAGGTAACAAGGACAAATCTCCTTTTTCCCTAAAGCTTAAAACAGCCCCCCCCCGGGGGGGGGAGTTCTTGATCCAGGAAATAGTCCGGGCAAGGGAAGGACAATAATGCCAATCCATTTGCCTGCCACCACTATACCACCCCCCAAGCATCTACTTTTTAGAGCCATGTTACACAAGGCGGTCCAGTCACAGAACTCCAGTGTTACATGTACTCTGATCTTAAACTACAGAAAAAGGACACAAAGCTCTTATTTTACAAAAATTCCTAGATGTTGTATCAAACTTAAAAAAAAATCACAAGGAACTACATCAACACTCTGAATGCTTACTTCAGCGTTTTTTAAACACATATTATTCAGGCAGTATCAAGTTGTTCTGCCAAACTGATTATGAGCTAGGGTAGACCAGTCACTCCGGAATCTCAACCAATCCTTATAGACTTGAGACTACAGCAGGGGTTTCCCAACGTTTTTGAGGCCATGGGACACCTCTGCAATTTTGAGAGGGGGAGGGTGCTGTCTCAAAATGGCTTCCACAGGAAGTGGAGCCACACCCAGAATAGCCGCCATGGGAGGCGTAGGAAAGAAGAAAATTCCGAAGAGGGAATGGAACCACCGTCTGAAGAAAATCCCAGAGATGGAATGGAACCGCAATCTGACTAAGCAACCAGCTGCTTACCAGTACCTCCTCAATCTCTGGCAGAAAACTCTTCCAGCTGAATGAGGAAGACAATAACAAGCCCTGCCTTAAAATGGCCCCACCCACCTTCTGAAAAGCTGGGTGGGCGTCAAGGGAGGTCTTGTTGTGCACAGGGGCACCAACAAGCACCACACTGGGGAATCCAGGACTGCAGACTTACAACCATTTTCTCCCTCCTTTCTCCCGTCAACTAGCGATAAGTAGAACCCAAGCTTTGCAGTGGTTTTATCAATAACTTGTTCCAAGCCTGAACTTCTGAGAATCAAAGCAATTTTTAAAAACAACCCTGAGATACCTGATCAAAGAGATAGACGGTGACATCATCGAAGAACGTGACTGCTTTCCTTTCCATCTTTAGGGAGTTTTCGGAAGGAATTTTCTGACTCAAAGGTCTTGGGCACTTCAGTAAGCTCTTCAGGTGTTTTCCATCATCCCTATCGATAAGGATCAACGGTACTTGATGCACAACCTCCTCGTCACTGTCAGAGCTCAGTCCGTGCAGATGGAAAGTTCTCATGTCGTCCTCAGAGTCGTCGCTGTTTTCATCTTCTTCATCGGCATCATCTCCATCCAATGACCGATCGAGCATCCCAGACACATCGAGTTTACCCAGGTATTTTCCTTCCACATCTGGCTCTTTGAGCTTGTGACCATCTAAATGGCACAACAGAGACCTTTCAAATGTTTCAGTGGGGCCCAATAAGTTAGGTGCAAGCTTCAGACCACGTGCAGGGTCAAAATCTGCCGTATTTGTTCCTGTGCAAGAGACTCCTTTGGGGGAATCCTCATACAGTTTGACTTCATCGTCATCGCTAGGTTCTAGACTCACCACAGATGGAAGTGAAGTTGTATTACCATCTGCAGGGGGATGTATTGCTACATCTATCTCATGGAGTTCTAGCTTCTCAACGAACTCCGGCTGCGAATTTGAGTTATTCACAAACTGGTCGTCAGTGACCCCACCGCAGTTCAGCTGGTTGTCTGCACTGGCGCTCATTTTCATTTCTAAGTATTCAATGCCTGTGCCATCCTCCACTACTGTCTTTGGTTCCTCAGACGCATTTATAACCTCTTCAGATTTTTTGTCTAGCTCAGAATCATTATCAGAAAAATAAGCAGAGTCCCTGTAGGAATTCTGAAGCCTGCCCGAAGAAGCTGCGGCGGCTTCTTCAAAGCAATCCATGATATTCACTGTATCCGCCTTGACATCTGAAGTCACGATAATCACTGGCCTTCCGTTTACAAGACCACTGTCACCAAGAACAGACAGATCCGTGCCTTCGGTGCCAATGAGGTGCGAAGTCCATTCAGGAGACTCCAGATTTTCTGTTTCATAGCCACTGTCAGCAGGTTTATCGGGTGGCAAAATTTTCTGGGGACTCTGACTCACTAAAGACTCCAAGACTTCATTAACATCTACTGAATCCAAGGAGTCTGGTGTGTCTAAAGACTGCCCCACGCTCTGCGTGGTGGTTGATATGCTATCCTCTAGCAGGCTGTCTGTGCTTGACCGGTCTGAAGGGAGGATAGATGCGAACATAACTTCTGTGTGATGTTTCTGAACCTGAGCTGAATTTTCATTGCTTTGGTCCAAGTGACTATGGTCATCCTGTTCTAATCCGGATTCTTTACTCCCCAAGTCATGGATCAACCCTTCCCAGCCCCTACTATTGCAGTCAAGTTCCTGTGTTTTTTTCTGCCTCTCTTGATCTTGAGCATTGAACACAATGCTTTTGGGGCTAGTCCCACCCGGATGGTTTTTGGCATTCATGGACAGCGTTTCGACAGAGATGGCTTCAGAGACCTGATCCATTCCGAGATAAGAGTCATCAATACTGCTGGCAGAGTTATCATCGGCTTCTATGCCGCAATGGTCTTCCCCAGCTTTCAATAGGGGAGCCACCTGCTGCCTATCCATCACAGGTGAGCTGCAAGGCACCTGACTGTCCACAAGGGATGGAAGCAGAACACCCGTGCTTTTGTCAGTGGCTACTTCTATCAAATGTTCATCTTTACGGGTTGGAATAATTCCAGCCAGTTTAAGCTCGACCTCCAGAGAGTTCCTATTTGGCGTCTGCAGTGTACTTGTGTTGTCTGCGTTAGCCGTGCTATTCAATACCCCCTTTAACAAGTTTTTCTCTTGGAGAAAAAGAAAGTTGTTGCACAGCTCTTCTGAAGTCAGCAGGCCAGGGCCAGACTTCTGCATGGCACTTTCATGCCAGTTAACACTTTTGTTTTCCGAAACATGCACGGGACTTCTCTTTTTCGCTTGATCAACAACTGCCGATTCCTCTAGATCCGAACAGGAAACTGCTTCGAGCTCCACATGGATATCATTCAGATCAGTTAAGTCCAACCGATTTCTTTCATCAGGGAACTGTTCTGCTCTAGAGACATCAGCCAATATATTTTGGAAAGGGCTACCCTGCTGGTTTGCCTGCGGGGCTCCTTCCTCGGAACTAGTATTGTAACTGGAAAAGTCCCCGTCTGTAGCAGACTCTGTAGCATCAAAACCCCCGAGAACCACAAAGTGAGAATTTCTGTCTTTGGGGACTTCAAGGCGGTCCACTTCAGTCGTTGCCATGACATTCTGGTTATCAAAATTCACGCTGCTGCTCCTGCTCTTCTCTTCTAGTTGGATGTAATAATCTCTGCCAACAGAAGGTTTGTGGGCGTTGAACACAGGAAGTTGCCCGGGCACTTGAAAAGGCGTTTCCTGACAACTTTGGTCCTGCACGCCAGGCCCGTGCCCTGAGAGACTGTTCTTAAAAACTTCCACCGGGAAGAAGATATTTGTGTATGCCACCCCTTCGTCAGGAGTCATCTGGCCACATTCAAAGTGATCCTGCCTTGCAGCTTCCCATATGTATTCGAAGCTGAGTCCTCGGCTGGTTTCAGTAACTGTGAGGACCTCTTCCATTTCGCGGCCAAGCCTGCTGCCCGTGAAGGGATCCAGAATCGGAAAGGCAGAGCTCGCCAACGAGTCTCTGTTGGAAGTGTTGGGCTTGAGAACGTTCCATTGCTCGGGGTCGATCACCGAGTCCCTTTGGCTTTGCATTCGGAGATACGTCAGAAGCTTGTGGACCTCATCGGCCGTTGCTCTCTTGTCCGCAGGCAGCCAACAGAACTGCAAAACTTCATACCTACAAGCAGAGGAAAAACACACACTGTTCAGTACTACTCAGGCAACGATAATACTGTCCTCATCTCAAGCTACTTCAGATCACCCGTCAATTTCCCATCAAGTGGGCCTCTTTAGTTAAGTGCATTTTTCAAGTTGGTTTACACTTGACTGGTTGGATTTCTACAAGCTTTTCATGTGAACACACACAGCATTAGTGTGGTTCTGGTTAACCTGTCCACAGGCACAAACTCACCGGGCGGTCTCTGGCAAGATACCCAGGCCCAGCCCCTCCACCTACCAGTGACACAAACACTGTCCTATATTACAGGGTTAGTTTAAAGGCTACTGAGAAAGTGAGCAATGTAAGAGTTTAAGGGGGGGGGGGAATTCAATCAGCCTAAACACAAAAGTTTCACCAAACGCTTATTGAATGTCCCATTTAGTTGACTGTACTGACTCACTCAGTGCAATCTGCCTCAAGTCCCCGTGAGAAAGGCGGACTAGAAATAATGTAAGTAAATAAACAGGAGCCATACCATCTGTCGGAACAGGGCTGCTCAAGAGCCGGTTCTGGGAGCTTCGTCCGCTTCTCTTTGATGACTTGCAGCAAAACTTCCTCATTGGATAAATGCGAGTAAGGCTTTGTGGCGCTGCTGAACAACTCCCATAATGTGACGCCCAGGGACCTGGGAAAGAGAAACTCTGCGTGTGAGAAGTCTGATTGGAATGGAACTCATCACTACAAGAATCCTTCAGCACTTTTTTTTAAAAAACTGCTACCCAGCCCAACCACGTCACTAAGAAGCCAATATGGTATAGTGGTTAAGAGAGTCTGATAGACCCGAGTTCGGATCCCCACTTGCTCCATAGAAGCTCACTGGGTGACCTTGGGCCAGTCACACTCTCTCAGCCTAACTTAACCTGCCCCACAGGGTTGTTGTGAGGATAAAATGGAGGAGAGGAGAAGGATGTCAGCTACTTCGGGTTCCCTCTGGGGAGAAAGGAAAGGTGCAAATGGATTAAATAAACAAATAGAATCATGGGAAGTGTTTAGCAAGCACAGAACGAGGGTGGGCCATACAATCAGTATGGCAGGAAGCGAACAGCAATAAGAGCAGGTGAGGGGGCCTGCCCTGTTTTAAGAGTTACCCACTGATTCTTTTCAGCCCCAGAACTACAGGTCACAAACACAACCAGTGTTCCCTCTAAGCTGAGTTAGTATGAGCTAGCTCACAATTTTTTAGCCTCTGGCTCACACATTTTTGCCTTAGCTCAGGAAGATTGGCTCCAGAGCAAACTAACTTATGCAGCAGCCAAATTGCTCGCTCACAACTTTAATGGCAGTAACTCACAAAGTAGAATTTCTGCTTACCAGACTCCACAGCTTAGAGGGAGCATCGGTCACAACATCTCTAGTCATGAAATAGACTGAGACTGGGTGCTAATTCCTCCATGCAAATCCCCACGTCTCCTACAAAATATATCTCAGCTTTCCTAAATATCCAGCCTTGTTCATTTCCCCCCCTGGTAGAATAAATGGATCCTCGAAACAGGGGTAAAACCTCCAATTCTTCATATACTAGCAGGACACTCAGCAGGTGGCCCTTGAAGTGAAACCGCCAGCCCATTAACTGAACACAAAGAGAGGAGTCAGTGTGGTGTAGGGGTCAAACTAGGATCTGGGAGACCCAGGTTTGAATTTCCATTCTGCCACAGAAACCTGCTTGGATGACTTTGGGCCACTCACAAACTCTCTGCCTCACCTACCCCCCCAGGGTTGTTGTGAGAATAAAATGGAAGCGAGGAGAAAGGTGGGGTGTGATTGATGTAAATAAATCCATTTGGATAGTCAATGGGGGGGGGGGGTGTTTCAATAAAAGACTATCAAGGGTCATCTTCATACCAGACGTTACTGTACTTTGTTTGTTCAGCGGTTAGCAGCCTGTCTTGAAAGCTAGTCACCAGCTCGGGAGCAGTCCACCGAAGGGGCACAAGCTTCTTTTCATCTGTTTCAATGTAATCCTCCTGACACACCAAGCCAAAGAGAGAGAGGAAACCAAACACACACAAAAAATCAACGTCACCAACTTGCCCAGTGACCAACGACACATCAACTCTGCTGCAGCTATGCAGGTCTCGGGTCAGTCAACACTCGGGGGAACCCAATACAGACTGCCTCCTGGTCCATATTGGATGGATGTAAATGGAATACATTTTTAAAACATTTTTTGAACTTTGCTGACATTACCGATTGAGGTCTGTGATCTTCAAAACAAACAGGAAGATAAAAGTTTTAAGTAAAAACGGGGTGGTTGTTGTTGTTGTTTTTAACTTCCTTTGTTAATCCTTGTCAAACAAATCCCATGAAAGCGAATCCTTTGGTTGTTTACACACATAAGAAATGTGATTTATAACATGTAAAGTGAACAAGAAACAGTAGCACTTTAAAGACTAACAAAATTTGTGGCGGGGGAGGAGCTTTCGTGAGTCATGGCTCACTTCTTCAGATACTTCAGAAGAATCTGAAGAAGTGAGCAGTGTGACTCACAAAAGCTCCTCCCCCGCCACAAATTTTGTTAGTCTTTAAGGTGCTACTGGACTCTTGCTCTTTTCTGCTGCTACAGACAGACAAACAAGGCGACCCATCTTGACATAGAGCGAACGTTACTCCATACGCTAAACCAGACAACCACCATCACCCAAATATTTATCTGAGTTATTTTCCATATACTCACAGGAAGCGCAAACTGCAGAGGATTCAACTGGAGAAATGGTGGGAAAAAGAAGGCAGAAGAAGAGCCAGTAGAGAGAGGGTTAAATGCCCCCCTCCCTCAACTGCATCTCCAATTTAAACTCCAAAGGGCTGGTTTTTATTGAAAAATGAACTTGTCTGGGATGCGCTAAATAGACTGTAGAGTTTCCCCACAAGTCTTCCTACCTGATGTCAGTTCCTAACACTGACTATGCAATTCTGAGTATTTGATATATGCAAAATCTGTGGAGATTCACAAGAGACAGAAGAAGGCATTAAGGAACAAAGAGCTCCAACAGCAAATCCAGGATAATAAATAAATCTGAATGGTGTACAGGAGGCCCACCCCCCAAAAAAACCCTGAGGCTACAATACACACTAGAAAATCTAATTAAGCACCACCAGCACGAAGCAAGGTCACCCAGCACTCTTTCGTCGGCTAGATTTGGGCAAATTAAAATCTACACCACCAAAATTTGGGTCTGAGTCTCTAACAATCTTTCAGTGCACTAACTTACCTTGTACCTACTGAATCCTATTCCGTAATCACCAACTTTTACGTTTAAATCGGAGGTAAGAAAGCAATTCCGCAAGGCTAAGTCACTGGGAGGAGGAGAAAAATTGAAAGCATTGCAGTGAGAACAATAGAAAGCTCAATATCAAGCTCAGGTGACTGAGCAAAAAAAAAAATCAATACCGTAGCTAACGTTTTTGGCTTACTCAGTGTCACACTAGACTCAAGAACAGTGTGGTGCTAAAGCACTGCAGCCATTCAAAGAAGAGCAGGCCTAAGTACATATTCTCATACTGGAGAGTTAATATGATGTGGTGGATGGGGGGGGGCACAATCTGGCCTGGAAAGAGCTGGATTCAAATCCCCACTCAGCTATGAAATTCACTTGGTAATCCCAGGCTCCTAGCCTAACTTGATTTACAAGAATAAAAATGGGTAAGAAATCCCATGTATTCTGCCTAGAGTTCCTCAGAGAGCAAAGGGCAATACAAACTAAATATCACATTGCGTTCTACATACTCCATACATATTCTTAGAACTGCTTGAACTAGCGGCCAAACAGTTTGCCTGAGCAGATAAAAAGAACAGAGGCATAATTTGAAGTTCATCTTATGTTCGGCAACCGGGGGAGTAGAAGGGCACCCAAACATGCAGAATGAAGGGGTGACTCACATTTGAGGTAGGTGAGTTCCCACCAGACGAGAGATTTCCATTTTTAATCAAAGCACTGAAGTAAACACCCTATGCATTTATGCCCCTGTTTTCAAACATTGTGAGCATGACCCAGGAGTCAGAAAAGGAATACGTTTTAGGCGTTACTTCACTTACTGTCCGCCTTTCTCATGAAAAACTCAAGGTGGAACAAGTGTGCAACTTATCCGCCCCAGAAATTGAGCTGGCCTGTACCCTCTCATCTCAGTGGCTCTGAACTCAGGAATAGCAATGAACTTATCACAGCTACATGCCTGCTGGGAAGATTTCTTCAGCAAAAAAATCTAGGCTTACATACTTTTCTCATGACTATACTGATTTCATGGTTTTTCAGATATGCTTGACATGCATATTTCAACCCAACTGCCTTTTTTAGGGCTAGCAAAACAGCATTATAAGATACATAAGATGCTTGAATTGAAGATTTGAAGAGCACAGTGAACACAGCCATTAAACCCAAAAACACAGCAACTCACCCAGCATTTAACATTGGAAGAAACTCTGTTTCGGCAAATCATTAACGGGCACCGCACTATCCTGGATCAGTTGCCAAAATAACAAGGAGTCCAGCAAAGTGCGAAGTGTGAATTTCAGCATGTAAGCTGTAATTCAGTTACCTTCTCCCATTTTGAATTTATATTTTAGCTGAAGAATTGGTGGCATCAAGAGGGCTTTTTGCACAGGTAAATAGAACTGTACTTGTAGTGAAATGGGCAGAAAGTTGCATTGGTAAAGGGATAGAAACTGTGACTTACACCACTGTATTGCTACCTGAAGTATGCTTCAGACTAGGTAGTTTCTACACCACTTAAGCGCAAGCTTTGTTTTCAGCTCTTTTTGAGATTTGTTTTCTGATTTCTGTGGTCCAAACCCTACTGTGTTGCTCACTAGACGTCCCATCCTGTTGATTGTACTCAGTTTCCACTATGTAACTCTGCCTTGTGTCTCAGTGAGAAAGGTGGACTATACATAACTAACATTTAAAAAAAATAATAATCATACCACCAACTCCAGTAATGCTCTGGTTTTGAATAAGCCATGAACTCGGAAATGGGGAGAAGGAAACTGAATTGCAGCAAGGGAGGCATGCAGCACTGCAAGAAGGCCTTTCTATAGTTCAAGCTTCCAAGTTTGTGGGCTCCAAAACCCATGCATGATTCAAAGTAGGAGCAAAGCCACAACAGCGATCTCTGTCTTCTCTGGGGAAGGGCCGGGCTTCAGTATGTCTTGGAGCTTATTGTATCCAGAATTTTGCTTTCTGAGCTTTTATTGAGAGTCTTTTGAAAGAATGTGGGAAGTCTGACTGTAGCATTACACACACATATATATACACACACAGGGAAGTCATACCCATGCACAAAATTTTGCTTATGCATAGCACCGAGTCCGGCAGCAATTTCACAAGCCATCCTCTGCAGCAGCATGATTTGGGAATCTCCTTTAATGTTCTCTTGCTCGATGCAAAGGTACGTTTTAAGGTCACCCTGTAAAAACAAGTCACGAAACACTCATCAATGGCTTCTCACTCTGGTCGCACCCAACAGGTATTTAATGAAGCAGCAACTAGACACAGTTTAGTTCTCGTCTGTCAGCAAGGTTCTTGGGAGCAGTTATAAATAAAGCTTGGTGCTTCGAGAGCCCTGTCATCAGATTTCAAGTCTCTGTACGGTTTTTTAGACAAGGCACCTGAGGTAGACACCGTAGTCCTTTTAAGGCCATTTGACACTTAACATGGGCATGTCAGTTCAAACATAGATTTGAATTAGGTAGGTATGCCGACAGTTCTCTTACAGAGAGAGGACTGAAAATGGAGCGTGAGAGGTGCTGGACAGGAGTTCAGGAGAACCACAGGTGATCAAAGCAACATGGCAAAGGAAGAACTGTAGGAGCAATCATCCATAATGTTTTTCCTCAGCCAGAAAAGGGACGATAGGTTTGAAGAAAAACAAGAGTTTTGAAACCGGGCCCTCCACTTTCAACTTCAGCAGCCAGACATACCCAGCTTTCTGTAATACAACTCTGCTGCATTAGGATCAAACAAACTCATTATCTACTTCCAAAGGCATCTGTCCAGTGTGTGCTTTTAACAACATTATGTGTACTCCTCTTAGTAACAAAGGGTCCCCTGCGCAAATAAACCTTATACACCTTTAATTTTGAAAACTAAGGGAGAGCCTGGTGGGGCTCTGACCAAGGATCTAATTCGTTGGAAAGACTGCCCAGTTATTCCTCCAAAGACTCAAATCGGGACCACGAATTCTGTGCCTTCCACTGAGGAGAGCTTAATCCACTCCTTTAAAGCCCTTCCAGACTCTGAACACCAAGCCAGCACTGATCAATTGGCACAGCTGAGGAAGGAAGGAGAAACACTAAAACCTCCTTCTTCTTCTTCAGCTCCCATTTTCTCCAGCGTTAACAGCACTGATCAGGCTTCGTCTGAGTCTTTGACAGCTCAAAATTACTATGGAGAATCTAAATTACTATTAATATATCCTAATAGGGAAGAAATAGGCCAACCTGGAGAGAACTGAAACTAATTATCTACAGTGGGCTGTACTGCAAATTCCCATTTATATATTTATTCTTGCCTGTGACCCTTTGCAGGGTAGTCTGAAGCATCACTGAAGCAACTGACAATGATCAGTTTCAAACTGCACACCCAGCTCAGAAACAGTGGCTGGATTATTTTGCACTTTATGATGGTGCGCAGCACTGAAAAGCATCTTGTCTGAAGTGACATGAAAGCGTCCTTAGGGCTCTTGACCTGCAATGGCTCACGGATGCCTCTGTTAACCTGCCCTCCACTAGCAGAAGAGCGAGGGTAATTCACTGAGCAGAGCCGCCTCACTCACTCTAGGTGGCAGCAAACCACAAAGCAAAAGTGACTCTTCAGTCAGAAACCAAACTGTCTTTTCATTTGCTGCATTAAACTCTCCAGTTCCCCTGAATTAAAATGATTAGGGATTGTTAAAACATGCAATTAAGATTTGGAGGGGGGTGTTTTAAAAAAGGAAACTGTTTTTCTAGGTGTCTTTTACCTTCCACCCAAAGCCTGTACGTGACAAAACAAGCTCACCTTAAGAAGTAATTTGGGCAAACCACCTTTCAGAACAGAAAAGGGTTGTTTAAGTAAGCCTTGATGGAAAGGGGCATGCAATAAGCTTGACTGGGAAATGATACAAATACTTCCTCCACCATAAGGGCCTCAATATCATTCTGAGAATAATGGGTTAATATAGATTGGAGATGGGAAGAGAGAACATCTGTATCACACAACACACATTTGAAGCTCTGTCATTTGAAAGACATAGTGCTGGGATCTCACACTACAGGTTTTTCACCAGTGGAAACGCATTCTGTGGCTCTTCCAAGCACCATTCCCCAATATGACAGTCGCCCCCTGCCCCCCGAAGCAAAGGTGGCTCGTTTGATTGATGTTAATTATAAGTGTGGCTTTCTGCAACGCACAGAGTGAGTGCCACTGTTTTTACATGTTAGCGGTTAGGTTTGGCAACCAGCTGTTGACCATTTTGTACTTTAAAAAGGTGAGCCCCATCTCAGCCCCTGACTGTACACTCAGGGTGCATCTGGTCACTCCACCGGGGACAAGCACACTTGCTTGCAAACACACCTGTAGCCTCCACACCTCTTGTTCCTGATTTGCTTCAACAACTCTGCAGCGTCATCAGGAACCCCCAGATTATTTAATGGGCCATGCGAGCACTTCGTTTTTCTAAAATAGCTCAAGAGTGTGAAGCAGCCCCAATACAGAGTGAGCTTTAGACAGAACAGCTAAAACACAACTGGAGTTTTAAGCTCCTTTATGGCTTCTGCTTACAGGGACAAGTGGGAACTTCTCTCTCTCTCTCTCAGAACAGTTGATGGGGAGAATTTTACAAAAGAAGGAGGGGAAAAAGAGATACACAACTTCTGTCAAAGCCAGCAGGTCAAGCCTTCCTTTAGGAGAAAGTACCAAGTCAAAGTTATTCACAGCTCCACAGGGCTTAAGGGGCGGTCTTTAGGACCTGCTTGAACAAGTTTTTTACAGTTGGAAAGAAACTGGTAGATACTAATTTGGGTCTGAACTATAAAGAGGAGGGTGGGATGGAAGAAACAAAGGGAGGAGCAAGCAAGTAATGCAGTCTGCATAGCAGAAAACCCACACGAGACTGAGAGAGCGGCAAAGTGGCACAGACAGGTTAAAAAGCCGGGAACGGACAGACTGCGGATGCTCAGGGATAACAGCATACAGGAAACATGGCCCGTGTCTGGCTATTGCACATTCTCTGTAAAACCTCCCAGGACTTGTCACTACCAGCCACAGAAGTCTGAACAAAGGCTAAATGAAACCAAAAGGAGCCATTAAGTTTTTAAAGGGAACCTGCTAAGTTTTTTAAAGCCTCTGTTCCTGACTTCTGTTTCCTCCCCCCCTTGCCATCTCTGGATGTTCCCCCTATTTCTGGAAATTTGGGACACGGCAGTGACAGGCCAAGAAGGCCTTCACAAGTCAGGACCTGAGCTGAGCAACACTGTGTTCTGGAGGAGAGGCCGAGTACGTATCGAGTGACTGTAGACTGCTAACTTCATCTGCTCATCGAGTTGCAAAGGCTCCTGACTGGCGATGTTCTGCAACAAGTCAGTACCGCTGACAGGCAAAGCGGCCCTGTCATAAACAAGGTGACGTCCACTTTATAAGACGATTCTTTGCTCCCCCCCATTCATCATTCTATCAACAAGGAATCCTGAACACTGACAAAAGGTTGGCTGCACACAGCTGGGCAATATATTACCGTTAATAAGCTCATTACTATGCTATTTTTAAACTTGGTACAGCCCCAATGACGAAAGGAAATGATACACCATTAGTTAATTATAGATTAGGAGGACTGCCACAAACATACCAGTGAGGCTACAACACAATCGTCTGAGACAAGACGGACCCTCGGGAACTATCTCTTGTTTTAGAAACATGGGCAGTAACAGCTTGCCCCAACGGGTGGGAGAGAAACTGGCCCTCTTTGACATAAGGCCCTCCAGTTTACCTTGCTGGATTTTAAAAATGCACCAGATCAGATTATGTTGAAGGGCGTGGCTTTAAAAGTCGACTTCATATGCAAACTTTGCTAATAGCCTGAGAACTCTACATTCTCTCGGTAGTAAAAGTGACCGACTTCCAATCAGATCAGAGGCCAGCAATTCCCATGACTACAAACACGTAAGTTCCCAAAACTTAAAGTCTGACTACTCTAAGACCAATAGACAATAACCAAAACGAAGCTAGAAGAACAGGTTTTGACGCCGCATGGTTGGATCTCTAAGGAATTGCCAGAAGCAGGGAGCAGCCTTGATGTAGATGAGCGTTCCACTTTTCCTCACACAGAAGTGAAATGTTGCCACGCACTCCTGCAGAGAAAGTGAAGCTCTGCACTTGGCAACAGTGGTATGGGAAGGGCAAAAATTGCCCCACTGCCCAAGCTTTGGGGCCAGACCATTGCAGGCAGGAAACCCACAAGGACAGCAAAGGCTTTGGATGCAATCCCAAGTCCACACACGCCCACCTAAACAGAGCATCGTGGAGGTTGTGGATGTGGCCATCTGTAAAGGACCAAAAGTTACAAAGTTAAGATTTGTGCTTCTTTTGAACACAGATCTCCCAAGTCAAAGCCCAGGATATGAAGCCGGACATGGAAGGAAAAAAGACTTGATCTAACACTTGTGCGGGTATAAAGCATATCTGTGTGCGCAAGTCAAGCCACTATTACAACCAAGACTGAGCTCAATACAGTGGTCTCCTGCCTACTTTCTGACTCTCTTGTTGAGGCTTATCCCCAAACAGACAGCGACTGGCCCTAAGACTACTGGCCAGAAGACCGGGATCCAAGCCACAGTCAAAGACCAACAAATGGGAGGTAAAAGCAAGGATGGAAGGAGGGAAGATGCTATCTTTGAACTGCTAGTTCGCCATAGGATTTCTTACACCCATCTGTTCCGATCCATGTCCAGCATGAAGCTGAATTACGTCCACCTTCTGGCTAGACCACCTCTTGTCCCCAGGCACAAGAGCTCTGGCACAAAAAGAGACTTTAAAAAAATCTAAAGCTGTTTTCTATGAGGCTATTTAAAAAAAAAAACCTGTATAGTCCTACAACATTATTTGGTCAAGGGAGCCATTTGGTGCTATTTTTGTTGACATCTTTGGATAACTGTCTAGCACTCGGTAGAACTTTTTCCGAAGAGCCACCCCCATCCGAAAGCGATAAACTTCAACAAACAGGCAACCATATAAAGGGCAAGTCTCAAGAAAGAGTTTCTGTGAACGGAGAGAGGAATTCCACTAACTGAGTACAATCATTTTCATTATTGGGGGGAGCCACCACTCTGCATTATTTATGAACAAAATGTTTATGGAGGGCATTCCAGAAACGGAAATAATAAATTTAATGATATTCAAGAAAGCCCTCTGCTTTGGCTAAAGGAGAGCGTACACGGCCAGAGAGGTCAGTTAAATGGTTCATCATATAACTATATCCCCACCTGTGTGACACATGTGAAAATCTCATCTGACCTACACTCTGCAGCATCACGGCACATTCTGGCATCTCTCCCTCCATCCTGTTTCTATTTTGCCTTTCTTCCAAGGAGCTCAGGGTGGCTTACATGGTTCCTTCCCTATCCACTTTATCATTGCAACAATCCTATGGGGCAGGTTCGGCAGAGAGCGACTGGCTCAAAGCCAGCCAGCAAGTTTCAGCACAGCAGTGCAGGGATCTGAACCAGGATCTCCCAGACACTAGTATGACATTCTAAACCACCATTCCAAACTGGCCACGATGTGCTGATACCTCCAAACATTCAAGAATAGAAAAAGAAATGCACGTCATGGGAACCAGAACAAATTATTTATGTGCAAACACTGGGGGGGGGGGGGGGGGAGGAGAGAACCATGCGTGTCAGATGCATAACAAACCTAAATAAATTGGAGCCAAGAAGTTTAAAACTTCCCGTGGAAAATGTCAGGTTTCCCTTCTTCATCCCTTCCCCCAACCACAAAAGGGCTAGAAAGTGAAGGGGAAACTAATTAGCACAGATCTCTGGAGATGTAAGACACTTAATGCCAGAAGAGTGGTTGTTCTCAGGTCAGACCCAGGGTCCACCCCATCTAGTCCATTTCTGAAAGAAGTGTTGCCCCACATGCTCAAGACAAGAGGCACTACACACCTGGCTACAGGAAGCACCAGTGAACTGTCTGAAAGGCCCTGGCTTTTAACAAGCCTGAGACCAGCCTCGCTGGAGCATGGTCTTCTGCAGGTGCCAAGCTGCAAGTCGGCAAAATCAACAACTGCCCGGGCAAGCACTTTCTCCACAGTGGCCCCCACCTTGTGGACTGGCCTGCCCAAGGAGGTCAGGAAGGCTCCCGCTCTCCTGGCTTTCTGCAAACCGTGCAGCCCTGAATCATTCAAGAAGGCTTTTCTATGCCGGCGACAGGGCAGCACTGCACAAAATGGCTTTACAAACTCGCTTGGACAAATTATTAAGGACTGTGTGGTCTATACTACTGTGTATAGTTTGCTGTAAATTGGGTCCTCTTATGGCTACCAGGATCAGGTGAGAAGGGGAAGCATGCATCTCCAGGAGAAGTGGTGTGGTAAGATGAAAAGCAGACAGGTGGAGGGAAGGCCAGGCTGGAAACTGAACAAGAATCATTTAATTTGCAACATTTAATTTCTCATTTTAGAACTGAAGCAATGCGTAAGTGTTAGAACGATACATTAAATGATGCAAAATCACATATACAAGTTTTTTTTAGACTTCTGGTTCATCCTACAACCCAAATTTTGTGTTATTGGTGACTGGATGTCCCAACTTGCTGACTGTATTGACTCGCTCTGCGCAATGCGCCTTAGTTCAAGTCTGAAAGGCAGACTAGAAACAACATAAAGAGGCAGACTTACTATGAGGGGGAAGAAGCTCAGCCAAATATGGATGAATATTTGTTGGAACAATGGAGCCCTCCCCCAGCACGCCCTAAATTTGTAAAGACAGAGTCAGACAGGCAACGTTTATCAGAACAGCAGCAAACACATTCTTGCCTTCTTCACACACACTGCAGGGAAACCTGGGTTCAGATCTGTTCTTGGTGAATAACAGAACCCTGGGCCCATAAATCTTAGCGTACCTAAGAGAGCCAATTTGGTGTAGTGCTTAAGTGCGCGGACTCTAATCTGGGAGAATCAGGTTTGATTCCCCACTCCTCCACTTGCACCTGCTGGATGACCTTGGGCAAGCCATAGTTCTGATAAGAGCTGTCCTTGAAAAAAGCAGTTTCTGTCAGAGCTGTCTCAGCCCCACCTACCTCACAGGGTGGCTGTTGTGGGGAGGGGAAGTGAAAGGAGTTTGTAAACCACTCTGAGACTCCTTTGGGTAGTGAAGGGTGGGGTATAAATCCAATCTCTTCTTCTTCTTCTACCTATCTTGTCAGAGTTATTATCAGAATCAGGGGGAGGAATCATGCATCCCATTTTGATCTCTTTGGAGGGAGGGCAAGTACTAGAAGTTAAGTTTGTTTTTTTAATTGGGGGGAAGTGCAAAATTGTACTAGCAATTTCTGTGTATCTGCAGACAGGAAAGTCTGGGTGGTGTACTAGCCACCCTAAACACTAAACAAAATGTGGCAGTGATGGCTACCAGGATCAGGTGAGAAGGGGAAGCATGCATCTCCAGGAGAAGTGGTGTGGTAAGATGAAAAGCAGACAGGTGGAGGGAAGGCCAGGCTGGAAACTGAACAAGAACACATGAAAGGAAAGGAAATTGCCTCTCTGCGCAAGTCCCTGTGAGTCCCCTCTTGTCAACTGCTATTCTTATAAACATGATGCTATAAAGGTTTTGTAAGGACACAGTTTTAAAACAGTTTTAAAACAGAAAACAAGGAAGAAATTTACAACTGAAAGCCCTTCTCAACAGCTGACACGATTTACCTATACTGTACTTGTCTTTGGTTTACCACCGTATATAATGTAAGGAAGATGTGTAGAGTGTCCTATTAGAGATTCCCACAGATAAACAACCATATAATGGGGAACAGGAAGCAATGTATTCCTCCAAAGACTCATGCAATAACCATTAGGGACTCTGGTAGATTCTCCGTTGATCAGTCCAACGTGCAAAACCACACACAGAAGACAGACAACAGTTAATGCCCTTTAAAGCACTTTCACTCTCCCATTTCCTGTAGTGCTTTCCTCACAGGTCATTCATACATAGCACTGAAAAATCTGAATCCAGCTCCAACTCATTCACCAACCATCCAAGAAGTGTACACTAGCAGAATATCACAAACAACACGTACTTACCAAGTCACAAAACTCGAACACCAGAAGACAGGGAATGGCTTCCACATACTGCCCAATACACTGGAGAACGTTTGGGTGCTGAAGATTGCTGTAAAGGAAGTGAAGGAGGAGGAGGAGGCTTTTAAGTCAAGAAGACACTGTTGCATCCCAGGGTAAGGAGCTGGGAAATCAAAAATGAACAAAGAAACCTAAGAATAGGATAGGCTCATGAGGGGACTTGTACCTCTCCTTTCTGGGAGATGTATCTCTACATCCAGGGGGGCACATTCATCTCAGCCACCCCCACTAAAGCCCAAACCAAATTCACCTGTAACGTGGTTTTTCTACACTAGCAATCTGCAACTTCTATCAAATCTAGTGCTATCGTAACACCTTTTCCAGCCATTTTCTTCACTTTATTGTTTGTTCATATACCAGTCTTGTGGCACCTTACATTTTTTTCATTTGTGTTCACTTTTATGGACCAGAGGCCCCTTTTTCAGATGCTATTAACTGATCCATTATATAGCATTTGAAGTCATGCTGGAATAAAACTGTTAGCCACTTTTATTTTGGCTGCAACACACTCCCGTGGCTCCCATGATCCACAAAAGGCACTGCAACACAGTTTGTTAAAAAAAAAATTGCTATTCGGCATGCCTTCCACAAGCTCAGGGCTGCAGTCGCAGTTATAAGATATATAATCACAATAAAGGAAAGCAATGCAAGACATACAAATCAATGCAGAAACATAGAAATAGAGAGCTGGAAGGGACCCCAAGGGTCATCTAAGTCCAACCCTCTGCACATAGCAGGAAATGTATAGCTGCTGTCAGGTTCCCAGTCAAATCACTCTCCACACACACTTTCGCAGTGAATGTTTTATTTAGAGATATGAGATGCTGTGGGTTCAAACTCTTTGTCAGGACTGATTTGCAAGGCAGGAAACAAAAGGTATAGATATAACCCCAAATTCCATCCATTCAACGTCAGCAATACTACAGTGGCTCTGAAAGATATACAACCACTATCTAGCCAGGAACAGTCTTACTCAAAGGACATTTCTCGTGAGAAAGATGTCTTGGGGCCCCTTAGGAAAATTACCAAGCAAGCCTCCCTAGTTCACTACACGCATTCACTCCCCCCCTCAGGAATGCAATGACAAGCGAGAGCAATGATAAAGGGATACAGAATGGATACAGAACAGAAGCAGAATACATCAGGTATCAGCCAGCCCATGCCAGATGCCAGAGTCTGACAGCTACCCCATACCCCCAGTGACCCCGCCCAGAGGAAGGCCAAAAACCTCCAGGATCCCTGGGCCAATCTGGCCTGAAAATTCCTTCCTGACCCCAAACTGGTGATTGGCATTACCTTGGCATTAGTCAAAGCCCAGCAACAAATAAATATACACTGCAAGAGATTTTTACAAACAACCGTGTTCTATTAGTAACTATCATACTATAAAGTGCTTAGTGGGCTATTGTTACATCCTTGTCAGGTACATGCATTCAATACATTCAGTTTAACAACTACCAGTCAATTATGCATCAGTATTTAAGAAGTCAAGCCCCCAACGGGAGTTTCCGGAATTGCAAGCCTGCTTCTACTTGCACAAAGTCTTCCAAAAGTGGGGGCAGGGACTTTCAATTGTATTCTGTTGATGCTTATTGCCGGTCCTACAAAAGACTTTTTAAAAGACATAATTCATAAGTATAAAAATTATACAATTTGTCAATATAGCTTGGCTTCATGACTTTTCTTACCACATTGTGCATTCAACACCTGTTAACAATTGGTGCATGTATTCCATAATTAAAGGGACGGTGTCATTAATCCACATTCCACTGAATGATTAAATGACCAGAGAACAAGGTGAATAGAATGCAGTCTTTGAGAATGACAGGAGCGCTCCGTCCATGAATCTTAGCTGCACAATGTGGTAAGAAAACTCATGAAGTCAAGCTTTTTTTTCTTTTTAAATACTTATGCATAATTGACTGGTAGTTGTTAAACTGAAAGTATTGAATACATGTACCTGACAAGGATGTAACAATAGCACACTAAGCACTTTATAGTACGATAGTTACTAATAGAACACGGTTGTTTGTAAAAATCTCTTGCAGTGTATATTTATTCATTGCTAGACTTCCATAACACTGCAGCTCGGGTTGCTACATTAGTCAAAGCCCAGCAGACTGAATTGGCAGCTAAGAAATCTATGTGGAAAAAGCCCCTCTAGAACAACGCACACAAGTTGTACCTGCCTTTTCAGAAGTAATTTAAGGGCAACCAGATCTCCTTCAGAAGACTATTCAGAGGCAGGGGAGCAGTGACTGAAACAGTGCCTACCCCTCACAGTAAACGTGTGAATTACTCTGGGAGAGGAGGGAACAGGCACAATTAGCAACATCTCCTGGATCAACCTTGAGAGGGCAAAAGGATTGGCACCAGGAGAGGTAGCTCTTACAGTATGGAAAGTTACAGGGTGCAAATGGCTTTCAGGACTGAAAAACAACAGATTTTCCAACTGAGCCTGACAGCCAATGAAAGCTCCTCCCGAAGTGTACGTTACTATTTTCCAGGATGCTTCCTGACATACCAAGGGCAGCCTCGTGTCGCTACGAACTACTGAGCTGCTACTCACAAGTATGGCTCTCCGTGCCTCAAAAACCGTTCTTGCTCCTTGGGATCAGCACTCGCTTTCAGCTCATTCACAATTACTCTTGTCACGCTGGTGCCTGTGTACACCTCGCCGAGCAGAACCTGAAACGCAGCATTGGAGAGTTTTTGATGATGTTTCTGAACTGCTGAAATCCAACAAAGGTCAACAGACAGTGCGTATCGAGGAGGATGTTAGGAGCTGCTTAACGGCTTGGTACCACCACCACCCCATGGGTGCAACAGACCTGAAACCAAAGCTCATCTAATTCAGGGGTCCCCAACCTTTGTGAGCTGGAAGGGACCTCTAGAACTCTGACACAGAGCGGTGGGCATAGCCACAAAATGGCTGCCACAAGACAGCTGCTGCATGAGGCAGCTTACTTGAGTCACGCAGAGAAAATCTGTGTGCTGCGACGGCAGCTGCTGCTAAGTCAATGCTTTTGAACATCTGCACTGTCACTCAAAAGCCCAGCTGGGCAAATGCCCCACCTGGCCCCACCCACCATCTAAAAGCACTTGATGGGCACCTGGAAAGCTGCTGGTGGACACGATGGAGCCCATGGGCACCATGTTGGGGACCCTTGATCTAGTTGTAAATTTTCAGGATCTGATCCAATTTATGAGTCCCTGCATATAACAACACACGTTCAGCCAACCAAGGAAAGCCCAGTTCCCTTCAAAGGCATAGAATCATAGAATGTTAGAGTTGGAAGGGTCCAACCCCCTGCACTCTGCAGGAGCATAGCCAAAAGATAGCCCTACAACAGCACTCTGCAGGAGACTTCATGTTAGCACATGATAGGAGAAAGGCAGACTATAATGAAGTATAAATACACAAATAAATGCTAGTCTTACAAAATAGCTACAAAAGCAAAACCTTCATTTAAATAGCAATTTGGGTAAATTTTTCACCTTCAAAGTGTTAAAACCAGGGGTCCTTTCCTGCAGGAGAGCACAGGAGCAGAGCTCCGGCAGTAAAGATCCCAGGGGGCGGGCACATGCAACAAGCCCCACCCCCTGCTCCCAGCAGCCCTCAGTCAGAGCAAGAAGCAGTCAGGTAAGTTGCAGAGCCCCCACCGCCCCCCCCAGTCCAAAACAGTCCAGTGGCACCTTTAAGACCAAGTTTTATTCAGGTACAAGCTCTTCCTCCTCTGCGAGGACAGATCTGCACATCCCCCCCCCCCACACACAGCTAGCAATCTAAAACAGTCCAGTGGAGCCTGAGCGGTGGGTGTTGCCTTCTGACATACTTCCGGTGATGTCAGGGGGTGTGCCATATGCAAATGAGTTATGCTAATGAGTTATGTTCATGAACTCCTGCACCTCTTTTTCTACGAAATGACCCCTAGTTAAAACTGTCCTGCAGTAGTTTCATGCTGGGGGCTTATTATGGGACCAGAAAAAACTATCACACACATGATTTGCTGTCTTGCTGTTTATGACTCCGGTTGCAAAAACAGTAAAGACAATAAATAAACACGCGCGATTTCCCTGCAAGACTTTTCAGAGATTTTGATTCCTGCGAAAAGGAACATCACCAGGCAGCAGCCCTGATTATTCCTGGGAGCGGAGACTGCATTCCTGGCGAGGTATATTTTCATATCTCTTTCACAAGAGGAAAAACACACACACAAAATAGAAACAGGAGAACAGCACTGTGGCAAACTAACAAACAAAAAAGCGTTTCCAGCAGTTGGACCTCAGCATTTTCAGTTTACAAGTATGCAAATAAAGAAGAGCCAGACCGAGTTTAATAAATAAACCGAGGGCCCCACCCTTTCTCTGCAGAAACAGTGCCCCCGTGCATGTGCGCATGTACATGCAGATGATAGTTACTGAGACACATGAGAGTCCCCCGCCCTTCCCTCTGCCCCCAGTCAAGGAAAGCAAGCTTGCATTCACTGCTGGGGAACGGGGCTGAGGTCTGTGCTATACAGATATGTCTGCACACTTGCACTGCAGCTGCGCAGGAAAAGATCATCTCTTTTAATTTTTAATGCTCTCTGCTTCCCCCAAAGCTGGCAGAGGCTCTGCTTCCCAAGAAGCACAGTGTTAAGACTCCAAGAATGACAAGTGCCTGGTGGATCACCGGACTTTGAGCGAGACTGGAAGAGAGCAGATTCAGCAGAGTGCTGCGCCTCTACCAGAGAAAACTAGAAGGCACAGGCATGCACGCTCCTGGTCAAAACAATGCTGCATTTCTCATCCGAGCCACACATTCCCATGCAGCGTGCACAGATTTTGAAACCCAACAGTATTGAACAGACTTGCACTTTAGAAACATTTTGGAGAGCTGAAGGGTAGCAATGGAAATATCTGAACTGTTGCTGTAAACACACGTTCTTTCAGAAAATACCAACCAAATACCTCGCGTGTGGGTGCTCATGTATGGGTGCACACACACACACACACGTATGTACACCTTGCAAAATTGTTTCTGCTACTGTTGCAATGGAAAATATTTTGAGAGGAGTAGATGAGCTAACCCCCCCCCAAACCTAGAACATTAAAGGCTTCTGACCTTTCCAAACCAACCATTTCCAATTTCTTGAATATAGTTTAGATTCTGACGTGCCACCTGAGACTTCGATTCCTCTGAAATTAAAAAACAAAAGGACAACATACTTATGAAAGAATAACCATTACTTCATTACTGAACTATTTCCTTTCTTTTTAGAGCCTTATACGAGTTCATTCAATTTCCATTTTAATATATTACGGTCCCCGACCAGATCCAGTTGACAAAAACAAACATTATTCAGGCATACAAATTAAAAACTCCAGTTAGATATAGAAATAGAAAATTTAACAAAAACCCTAAATAACATTATATCAAAAAGAGAAACATAGATTATAAAATACATAACATAGCATCATAGGTGACCATGTCTAAAATTTAAAACAAGGAATTTGAGAGGAACAAGAGCTATATAATAGACCTCTTGAAGGAAAGTAAGACAAGGCTCAAAGGGGCAGGACTGAAGTTTACTGTGCAATTTAATTGCCTGAGCACAAAATCTAGGAGTTAGCTTAATAACAACTGAAATTTCGTCTGCTAATAATTTATCTAAACATGTCTTGTCCAGTGTTCCCTCTAAGCTGATTTAGTGTGACACAGTTTTTTAGCCTCCAGCTCACACATTTTTATCTTAGCTCAGGAAGGATGGCTCCCGAGCAAACTAATTTATGCAGTTGCCAGATCACTCGCTCACCACTATAATGCCAGCAGCTCACAAAGTAAGATTTTTGCTCCAAAGACTCCACAGCTTAGAGGGAGCATTGGTCTTGTCTGCCCCTAACGCAGGTCTGTCTACAAGGGAAAAAATTATCTTATCCTGAATTTGTTTATAGATGGGGCAACGGAAAAAAACATGTCCCACTGTCTCCACCTTGGCTAGGAGGTAAGGGAAAATCCTCACTGATTATGCGATGTTCCTTTAACTCCCTTCCAAGATCATGGATGGCATGGCATTACATCTGGCCAGTATAAAAACCCTCCTCTAATCTAGAGTTTTAAGATACTGGGCCATTGACATGATGTATTTCATCTTCTCAGAGTCCCTGAAGACAGGAGACTTCATTAAGTCTTGCTGGTGTTCCATGTAACAGATCCTTTGCCTAACTGTGGATTTTGTTTGATCAACAGTCTGCAACAAAAGAGCACTCTGTGAAAGACCCATTCTTTCAAGGCTTCCCTCAAGTTCATTCAAGCACAAACCTAACATAAAGATGCCTTAGCACTATTGTTCCACTACAGCTGATGATCAGGACTGTCCACAACAGTACCATTTAACACAAAGCAAGTGACAAAACATTATCTCTATCCAGTTTTCAAGCTCAGACTCATGCCTTTCTTGAGGGAGTGAAGCAAAGAGCAGATTGGGGGGGGGGGGTTTGGCAGGGAAGGACAGACACTCTGGCTATCATTCCTAGATGGAGAGGGAAGAGAAGATGCAGAGCAAAAGTCCTCAAATTCAACCCCTGGCATCACCAGGCAGCAGGGTGGAAAGGCATCCTACTAAAACAGTCTCCATTGTTAAGCTATTTAGTGCTGTTTGCCAGGGTGCTGTTTTGTTGTTTGCTGCTTGTGGGTCTAATTTTGAGCCATGCTGGCTTACAAAATCTGCAATTTTTTCCTAAGCATTTTCTCTCCTCTGCTCCCCTCAAAGAAGCGATTTTGAGCAACACGCAGAAATATTCTACGTCTGTTTTTCAGTGGCACGGTACCTCCGTGCATATAATTAACTATTAATGGCACTGACCGGGGGTGGGGGTGGGGGTAACCCATCTAGTTAAAAATGAGCACAAAGTAAAAACCGCATAACTGGATCAGACCAGGATCCATATGGTCAAGCATTCCATCTTCAAACTGGCTGGCCAACCAGATGCCTCTGAAAATTCACAAGCTGGCTAGGAACAGCAAGAGCCACCCCCTCCTTGCCCTGGCATCTGTTGAGTGTAATGCACCATCAAGCCCCCCAGCTGACTTATGGCAACCCCGTAAGGCTTTCAAGGCAAGAGACATTCAGAGGCATCGCCTGCCTCTGGGTAGCAATCCTAGACTTCTTTGGTGGGCTCCCATCCCAGTACTAACCAGAGCCGACCCTGCTTAGATTCTGAGATCTGACCAGAGCAGGCCAGCCTGGGCTGTCCCGATCAGGCCCCCGGTATTTAGCACTGAAATACGCAGCCACAAAACAAAGCAGCTTCATTCAGCTAATGTGGCTAGTTGCTGCTGACAGACCTATCCCCCATGAGTTTACCTAATCCTTTTCTGGGGGGGGGGGGGGGGGGGGCAGGACTGTCATGTTACATGCAAATCCATCCTAAGCCTTTGCAAAAATTTAAGATTAATTTCAGACTCTCGCTGTGGCAGGAAGACGCTCAAGCCTCAGCCAAGTAACGGATGCAGGCTTAGAGGCTCCATCTTCTGATTTCCCAAACGAGAGCCAAACGAAGGCTATTTTTACCAAGGTTCACAGCTCCTATTTAAAATCTTTTCAGAAGCAAGATTAAGAAAGATCAGCCCATACTGGGAATAGCATTCTGTGGGAGACTGAGAAATTAACAAGAAAAACATTGGGGGGGGGGGCAGAACCTCTGATGAAATGGCAGAGAAGAGGAAAGCACAAGACAAGAAAGCACTATTTTTAAAAGCCAATATGTCGAAAGACAATACATTTGCCAAAAGGCACACTGGGAGCTGTTTAAAATGCAACTTTGAAGGACTGCATCGTAAGAACTGCACGCAAGATATTAGCAGGCTAAAAGGACCCCTCCGGGAGGCACGGCAACTGTGCTCTCGATTTGCTTAACAGCTATCGGGAGGAGGGGGAGGGAAGGCAGCACAGTGTAGCCCCATCTCATCAGACCTCAGAAGCTAAGCAGGGCGGGTACTTGGAAAGGAGGTTACCAAGGAAGCCTCTGCAGAGGAAAGCAATGGCAAATTACCCCTCCTTCTCTCTTGCCTTGAAAGCCCCTTGCTGGGGTCGCCATAACTCAGCTGCGACTTGATGGCACTTCACAGACACACATCATGAGGCGGAGCTCCATTCATGGGACCAAACATTAGAGGACGGGCTGGGAATAGGAGGTGGGGGGAGGGGAGAGACACATCTTGTCAACCAGGGAGATCTTACCCGTAGGAAGCTGGAACTGTGATGCAGGCGGCAGAGAAACGCTTGGAACCGAAAGTACGAACACTTCTGCTGGAGACTGAACAGATGGCGTGTCTTCTGCTGGTGGGGTAAAGTCTATTTCATCATCAAAGTTGTCTTCAAATTCCTATAAAAAGCAAAAAGAGCAACAAAACTAAAAGGATTGTTCCTTACTCCGAAACTCAGATGGGTTTAATATTTTATACCACTCACAAAATCTGGTCCCTATTCTCGGTTAAACCGATACTTAGATTGGGGATATCCAAGATTCCCAGGTACAAAGTTTTTAAGTGCTACAGCTCTGCAATCTCAGCAGACGCTATTTCCCTGTAGGGCCAATGAGAGAACGAACCCCATTAGCTTGCAGAAAAACAGCAGAGAGTACAAAGCAGCCCATCTTACCCCAGGACCTCTTCCAAAGGGTTCTGTATGCACATTTCCTCCACCCAGCTACATTTCCACCACCATCGCCATGAGAGGGAGGGAAGGAATTATTTGGGTAGTTCAATGTTTATTGTCACCGCTGGCCATGATAACAGCAGTCACTGTGGTCTGTTTTTAAGATGTCTTTTAATCTCTTGCTTCTTTTTTTATGAAGAATACATATGGTTAAACACCGGGGTATATAAACATTTGTAATGAATCATCTCCCCTTAGCCAACATCAGGAGGACAGTCTGTTTGCCAACAGTATGGTCACGGGCATTCTCTGTGGTGGGTCCTTCCTCTGGAATGGCCTGCCAGGGTGGATGCAGTGGTGGATCTTTTGCTTGCCATTCTGGTCAGAGCACCATTGTTGCCACGCAAGCCTATCAATGTGTTTTTATGAACTGTATGGACTGTGCAAAGGGACTGTATAACATGGAGACCTGGGAATACCTGTTGAGACTGCACACCTGAAAGAGGGACACCTTCCTTTAGCATTGCTGCTACAATCATGGTCCAGAGTCACCAGCCATCTCGCCTGCTCTGAGATGAAGCAGTTCCATAAGCCTGCACAAAGCCTCAGGTGCCATGCCATGGAAAAACATGAGGACAGAGAACTCCAGACACCATTAGGAGGTTCTTCAAGCACATGTAGGCAACACCCCCCCCCACAAACCTGCCAAGCTGCACGCAGCTCTGTGACTCCAATAATAGTTGCTTAGCACCTAATTGCTCAACCATCAGCAAGCCAGCTAGGGCCATCAAGAGACAATAGCCCTAGCCTGATGATTTAATCACTCTTCATCCAGGTGCCAGTCCCCAGCCTAAGTTTCTAGATCTCAATATTGACCACTCCTTAGTGGTCCCCTCTTCCAGCCAGCCAATAGTATGTTTTATGGGACGGACTAACAGGTGTCACGGGGGGGGGGGGATGTGGCCAGCTCAACCAGCCCCCCCACCTTATAAAAGATGCTGACCGACCACATGGTCTCTCTCTCTCCCTCTCAACTACCCCTATTGAAGCTTTAACCCTTGTATGTCCAGCTTGCTATCCATATACCCTACCTCCATCTTTAAACTCTAGTCTGCAGCTAGTCCACGTGGTTCTGCCAGTTCAGAGCACATGTTCCCCATCTTCTATTTCTAAACCCCTCTATTCTTCCATTGGAACGTCTCAATCAATGAGGACAGGTAAATATCACCCAACCAATAAATATCCTGCTCATGCAAACGTGATAATTATCTATCTTTTTATTCCTAGTATAAGTATAAACGTGTGTGTGCTTGTGTAGTGTTTGAATGATATATATCCTCCAGTAAAAAGACATTATATTATACTGAATACAGTCTCCGTGTCTGTTCTGACACCTATAGCAAAGGTGGGACTTCTGTATAGATTGGTGTGAACCCTAATTTGCCTATTGACAATTAATAATCATAACCTCCCCTAGATTAATTGAGAATTTAAGGCAATTTGGCTAACACCATTGGTGGGAGGTACACTGTCTTTCACTTTTTTAAACTGCACTGGTTTTCAACCGTCCTTCATTGTATACTGGTTTTTACTTGTTAGACACTTACAGTGCTTTGCTGCTTCATTAGCCTTGGGTTTGCAGAGATACAAGTGTTTTTAATATATAAAAACACAAACACCAGGAGCAGAACAAGTCGAAATATTTTTTATCAATAAACAGTCCCAAAACTAATAAGAGCTTTTTACTTTGGCAAGAATGAATGTTCTTCCCTCAGAGGTTTTGGAGGGCAGATATAATAGAGCATCATACTCTAATAGAACATGCAGATGCCCGTATGATAAAAATGAAACCATTGAACATGGGATTATGGAGAGCCCTATTTTCAACGAGTTGAGGGCTAATTTAGTCACCCCTTTACTTAAAGATACAGAATTGCTAAATGTGCAAGCCCAGGTGTCCTGGCCACGGTCGGATACAAATGCCTTTCACTGGCAAAATTCATAGGCGCAATAATCAAATATATGAGAAATAATACTGAGTAAGGTCTTTTAACATATTTTTTGGTTCTGATTTCTGCTTAAGATGATAGCTGTATGAGCAGTTCTAGATACATAGAATAAAAAAACAAAACACCAGAAGCAGAACAAAATTGGGAAAAGTTCATCCTTAGACCCAAAACCTCCTGGGGTACAGCACTGGCTGCCTCATGGCCCTCTTGCTTCTCCTACAGTAAAAAGGGGGCAGGCCGTTTATGTCCAAGAGGAGGAGACACTGAGCTCAGCTCCATGGAGACACACACACTCTCTCTTTTGGCAAAATGGCCCAATTTGCTGCTCAAAGGGTTAACTTCGTCAAAGTTTCACAGATGCCTACTTGCGTATATCTTTAATTAAAAATGCGAGAAGTGGAGAAAAGGGACATTTCCCCCCCAAAACGCAAGCTCCCATCAGGTCATAGAAATGAACAGCTCAAAATAGCTTTTTTAAAAAACAATGTTTTACACCAACCTTTGACAGCACCGCAAGCTTATTCACACATTACACTGCACGTGACAACAAGCTGCAAACAATTCTTTAAGATCTTTGGTTCCAGTTTTTGTAAATTGCATGAATTTGCACAGGTAAGCTCTTCAGAACCAGCTGCAACCTGTTATCGTCATGTGTATATGACACAGCGGCAGTAATAATATGAGTTGCATTGTTCTCCTGATCTGGGCAAAGTCCTTCCTTCTTCCCTCATAAGGGAAGCCTGTCTTGGGCTAGAATGCACACTGGTCTATATTGCAAGGAAGCGAAGCATAAGCCGTGACCTACCCCAACAAGAGATTAATTTTAGCGTAATAGGGGAAACCCTCTCTGCCTTCAGCACGCTGGCTAAAATCAATGAACTGTGCATACCACCCAACCACGTCTACTTGGTTTGGATGGCTTCCTGCATCTTGCAGACACAGGGAAATTGTTAAGCATATAGCAGGCTATAATAAGCCCCACAGGTCCATGCATAATGGAAGTATCACACCCACATTGCCATCTCTGGACAAGACAGCACTGAACTCACAAACAGGACTTTGGAAGTGGAAAGTGTCATCAAGTCACAGTCAATTTATGGCAACCTTGGAGAGTTTTCAAAGCAAAAGACATTCAGACCTGGTTTACCATTGCCTGCCTCTGCTAGTGACCCTGGACTACCTTCGTGGTCCCCCATCCAAGCACTAGCCAGAGCTGACCCTGCTCAGTTTCCAAGATTTGATGAGAACGGGCTAGCCTGGGCCATCCAGGTAGAGGCAAGACTTAAAATTACCCTGTAAAGGGAGATTTGTTTCCTCTGCAAAGAATCACATATGGACAATATTGCATAGGAGGGGAAAACGCATATTTTGCAAGGAGATCTGCCAACAGGACACTTGGTCTGGGATTCAAAGAGACAAGTGCACGGTATGCAATCACTGAAGACCATGAAAGCAGGAAGGAACCAGACACCACAACGCCAGACCAGAATCCATTTGAAGAATTCCCTCAGTTACAAAAGCTGTTTGCCATACAGCAGACAAGTCCCCTGGTTTGGAAATACCAGCTTCGAACTAATCACAGCTTTTTATCTTGGCCTTGATTCTCGCTGAGCCCTGCTCAGATCTTTCCTGCCCAACTCGCGCAGCATTTCTGATCAAAGCTTTCCACCTGCATTCCTCTGTAAAAGGGGAGGGGGGGGGAGTGGAGGAGAAAAGTTGTATCGGAATGATCCCCCTTATTGTTCCCTGGGCACATGACAGAACGTTGTCAAGACTCTCTCCCACACAGGAAGTGTCAGCTTTCGGTGAGGTTTAAGTTACACAGCTGCAGCTGGAAGGAAAGGAGAATGAATACCCTTTGGGGTGTTATCAACAGCAATGCCAGCAGAAATCCACTAATAAAAGGCATCTTTTCAAGTTCGCCAATCTCTACTATGTTTGACTAGACAGCTGCCAAAACAATATCCTGTTTGTCTCATTCTTTACATTCCAAAATTCCAAAACAAACTGTATGTTGCAGATCCCATCCTCTGGGTGTGTATTACAATATGGGATCCAAGAGAATAGTATTTTTTATAATAACTACTGATTAAGAAGTCTCAGCCTTTCCCAGCTATTACAAAGACTGCTTTATTAACTGAGTCCACAGAGGGTTTAAAAAAATCAATAAGGCAATTTCTTCAATGTAAAAGGGTGGCATTTTTTTCATTTATTTAAATCTTTTCATTCTAACATTTACAACAAAGCTCAGACCTTGAATATAACTTTGTTGGTCTTAAAGGTGCCAATGGACTCAAACTTTGTTCCAGCACATAACAAAGATAGCCTTCCATATCTGTAAGTCTGACTCATCACAGCAGATCCCAGCAAGATTTGCCAGAGTGGTATGCAATGTTCCCTCTAAGCTGTGGAGTCTTGTGAGCAAAAATTCTATTTTGTGAGTTACTGGCATTAAAGTTGTGGGCGAGCGATTTGGCTGTTGCATAAATTAGTTTGCTCCAGAGCCATCCTTCCTGAGCTAAGACGAAAATGTGTGAGCTGGTGGCTAAAAAACTGTGAGCTAGCTCACACTAACTCAGCTTAGAGGGAACATTGGTGGTATGGTGGTTAGAGGGCTGGACTAGGATCTGGGAGAGCCAAGTTCGAATCTCCACTTGGCCATGGAAGCCTGCTTGGTGACCTTGGACCAGTCACTCTCTCTCTCTCTCTGTCTAACCTACCCGGCAGGGTTGCTGTGAGGATAATATGGAGGAAGAGAGCGATGTATGCATCCCTTAGCTCCCTAGAGGAAGTGCAGGATAAATATGTACTAAAGTGCAGGATAAAAATGTACTAAAATAAATCATTCTCCCATTTACTTTCAAAGTACAAGAAAAATACATTGCTTGAACCAGCACTGCTCATCTGTTGCCTTGAAAACCCCACGAGTTGGTTACAACTCGACAGCACATTTTTATCACCCCTTAGTTTGTCCATTTTTAGTTACCTCAAAAATATAAATCAAGCAAAAGGAAACATCTGTTGCTCATTAGAACCATAATCCACTCCAGAGGTAGCTCAAAATCTGGTAGCTATAGGGAAACCTTAAGTTAAAATAACAACAACAACAAAATAGCTCAAACTGGTCTAATGAAAACCATCAGACAGTGAAGAGGGAATTATGTACGTAATGATCAGACACCAGACAAGAGGCATAGTGCTTTTCCTACCTCTTGTAACTCACCTTGAAGTTTATCTCTTGATCTTTACAACAGGATACACAGTTCACGGACAGTAGCACCAGCACCACGAGGGTGCAGAAAGAAAGAATCACTAACGAGAACGGAACTTCAACTCCTGATGCTGATGCTGCTGCTTCCCCTAGAAATGAGCAGACAGTGGGCAGAAATAAATACAATTCTATAAATGCAAAGAACTCACTTTGCCTACCCTTCAAATTATTTACCTTTACAGTGAAACCCAGCTTTACTGAAATAAGTAGGCTTTTTAAAAATCCCAACCTTGCTCCAAGGAGCTCAGAGGGACACATGTCCCCCTTTATCTTCACAACAACTCTATGAGGTAGGCTAGGTTGAGCAAGACGCTAGCCCAAGGTCACTCAGTGCACTCCACTGGCAGAGTGGGGGATAAGAATACAAGATATCCTTAAGCTGAAGTGTGGCACTAACCACATTGGCAAATATACCTGTAGATCAGTGAAATCATGCATCTTTGAGACAAAGATGGGGAAACTAGCTACCAGTTTTCCACCCCTTTTAAGGACCAGGCAGAAAACTTTGCCAGGAGGTGTTGGGCATCTCGCAGGCCATGTTTATCCTCTAGAATGCCTCTCCTCCACTCTACCCTAGAGATAACATACAACAGCTTCCACGTTTTCCCATATACATTTCTGGACAATGAAAATGGTATTTAATAAGGATCGACAAAATCTAGCTTAGATGGATTTTAAGCAAAATCTCTTGGTTATAACAACAAAAGAAACTCCAGAATCAGAGGCAGTATAGCGACAATTATCGGCTGCTGCGTATGGTCAATAAGCAGGGAGGGGACTGGCCATTTAACTTACAGGGAATCTTCCTAGGAGGGCCACTAGTGGACCAGAGCAAGCAGAGTCAAGTCCCAGCAACTCAGGGATTTCTTGGCTCAGACTGTTCAACAGCAATGTTTGCCAAGCAGGTAAGGCAGAGAACTCATTCAAGAATTAGACCAGGGCCCCTTTGGAAGGCTGAAACAGGGTGGTGGGTGTGACAACAAAATGGCTGCTACAGGAGGCAGAGCCAACCACAAAACGTCAGGGAGCGAGGTTATGCACTGCTCTCACAGTGACTCTTCCACATTAAAGGCAGAAGCCGTGTTTAACAGGAAACCTTTTAATTTGCACAGCCGATCAGAAGCCCTGCTAGGCACAAGCCCCATCTGGCCCTTCCCACATTCTAAGAACCCTTGGTGGGCACAAGGAAAGGTGTTATCGGTCAATCTAAGCTCCACAGTGTTGTGAACAAAAAATTCTACCTCGTGAGCGAAAAAAGCTAGTAGCATTAAAGTTATGAACAAATCTACATTTGACTACTGTGTAAATTATTTTTAAAAGATTATTTCCATAACCTTGTAAAAATTTCAGAACGAATCCTTTTAAACTATATCTTAAGAATAATTTAAACATTATAACAGAAAACAGAATCAAGCCAAATTTCATTAAACAAAATGTCCTCTACAGGGGTAGACGAGGCCTCTGGAGAACAGGTCTACCTGCCCCTTTCCACAATATGGGGAGACCTGGACTCCAGAGAACAGGTCTACCCACCTAAGGCTGCGGTCACACGGAACAGAAGCCACACAAGTGAGACGGAAAACAGGCGGAGTTTCCGGGCGCGATCTCACCAGCACATCTGGGAAGCGTAGCACTCCCGTGGCTCAACCGAGGCTTCCAGCCGAAACTGCGTAGCAAAAAACTAGTACCTCGGAGGTACTAGTTTCCGGAAACTGCGGGGCAAGGGCGGGCGTCTGATTGCGTTTCCGGTGGCATCCGGCGCCTGCCCATGTCCCCTTGCAAATAAGGTGTGGTTTTTTTGTCCAAGTCTCTGTGGATGCGCACACGCACCCAACGGAGCATGCGCATTTGTCGTGTACACACACAAAAAACAGTTTGCCGCGGCGCGCGCTTCTTCATTGCGCGCCGGCTTGTCCTGTGATCAGCACCTCTCCCTTGGCATGGAACCTCCACGGTACCTCCACAGGACTTCCACGGGAGGTCTGATCGCGTAACTGCGCAGTAGTTTGCCCCAGGGCAAACAGCCACGCTTCTCCCCCGCAGTTTCCTGCCCGTTTGACCGGGGCCATAGTCTATTATACTGGTTGACCTGTCCTCCAGAGAACAGGTCAGCCTTCCCTTTTCCACTATATTGGTAGACCTGTCCTCTGAAGAACAGGTCTACCTGCCCTGGTCTACTATATTGGTAGGCCTATCCTCCAGAGAATCGGTCTACCCACCCCTTTCCACTATAAGGTAGACCTGGACTTTGGAAAACCCCAGTCCACTGTATTTGTAGACCTGGCCTTGGACCGGCACCCTGTGCTGACCCTTAGAAAACATACCAGCACTTTGGGGAGAGGGGACTCGTGCAGTCTACTTTGGGGGGGGGGGGTTAGTGAAATATGAGAACCAGCATTACACACAAAGTATAACAGACGTGAAACAATCACTGTCAGAACCCTGCCTAACTTAACAAACAGGAAGTTGCTTAAATGTTTTTACCCTGCCCAAACTACTTATTTATTCAAATATTTATATCTCACTTTTCCCTGTGACTAAAGACAGCTTACAAACAATAGCGAAAAGCATAATAGGGGTGTGCAAAAAAAATCATTTTTTTCTTGCTCAGTTATCACCCATAGGTACCATTATAGTCAATGGGCCCCATAGGCTATAATGGAAAATCAATCCAGGGGTATCTGGGGCTGGGGGGGGCCCTGCTTTTTGAGGAAGAAGTATCAAATTTGTGGCAAAGGCCTCCTTAAAAACTCCTCAAAGTTTCAAAAAGGTTGGCCAATAGGTACAATGTCAGAGCCCCCCGGCATACAAATGCCGAAGCCCATCAAGATATAGAGAGAAATGGTTTCTGGCAAAAGTTCAGGACTCCCGAAGAATTGCAAGGGGAGGAGGAACAAGTCTGAAGCTCCCACCCCCAACACAAACACACACACACACACACTAGTATTATATAGGCTCTTGAGATTCAGGTAAACTAGTTTCCCCCCCCCCTGCTTCTTACATTTAACAAGCTCTCAACATTCCATGCCTCTTTGACTATGCTCAGTTCTTACCAGTTTTGTTTTGTTGTTTTTTTTTTTTTGGGGGGGACACTGACTGTAAATTAAACAAAGCCATATTTTTGGCATACCTTGGAAGTTCCCAGAGTACATAAAGAGCCCTACATTGTCTGCAGGTGTCTTTATTTTGGTATTTTAAAAATTGTCTTTGTTATTAGATATAGTGAGGTTCTGACTCCTAGAGCAGGCAGCTTAACCCACTCTTCTTCCAAAGGTACTGAGCCTAAGATATGCAGTCAACTGAATGCTCAGCTTCCTCTTTGGCCATGATCAAACAGTACCTCATATATGGGCATACATGTCATGGTACTGATGCAATTATGCCATTGCACCGTCCTTTAAAAAGACAATTTAATGGCTCCTGTACACCCTATAATCCTGTTATGGGAACGTCTTACAACAGGAGCATTTGTATTTCACTCATCCAAGTAGTAAGATCACATTTTGGGTGGGGTTTTTTCTGACAGATGATACTACTATGAAGGCATACATGGTATGCATTAACCTAAGAACAACTGTGATCTGGATGGCCCAAGCTAGCCCAATATCATCAGATCTCAGAAGCTAAGGAGGGTCTGCCCCAGTTAATATTTGGGTGGGACAACACCAAGGAAGTCCAGGGTTGCAATGCAGAAGCAGGCAATGGGAAACCACCTCTGAACGTCTCTTGCCTTGAAAACCCTACAGGGTCACCATAAGTTGCCTGCGTCTTGATGGCACTTTACACAAGAACGAGAAAACATTCTTGCACACAAGTTAAGCTATTGCTAATAACTACTTCCATGCACAGGAACATAAATGCTCAACTCTCAATGATGAGTTAACTACCTTTTACAAAACAATTATAGCATATTCATGATGACTTACTGTCACGAGCAACTACCCTATTATGCAAATTGTCCTTTGGGAGTCAAGAGAATGAATTTAGGAAGCTTGCGCTTCTGAGTTGGAAGAAGAAGCTGCAGTGATGACAGTGCCTATGTGCAGAATGCATCTCCAAGAACACACTGAACCAGCCCCCAAAGAAACAAATAATCCAAGTACTCTGGCTAAACAAGCAAAGCCAGAAATTAACCAGGGAAAGAATAGGGGAGGGAAGAATGTGCCGTAATTAAAATCTTATTCAGTAAGGGACTGGCAGGGAGAATGCTGCCGAGTGACTAGGCCTCTCCCTTAACAAACAAAAGCACCACAGCTTTTACATCCTCCTCTAATACTGACTCCATGTTAGATCTTCGTGTGAGCTATATCACCTTGCGTGGCAAGGACCGCCTTCACGAAATCCCCACCCAGAGACAATCATCCTGCCAGCCAATAAGGACACGAAATATGAAAGAACAGCACAGGTTAACAGATCACAACAGAGCAGAGCTGGTCAGTTTTTGTGAATTCTTGCACTTGTACACTCCAGCTTGCAAGGAATTTCTGCCCACCTTCTTATCAGTTGCACCACTGAACTGCTACTCCCCACAGCTCCTATACTCCCCCCCCCCTTCAACTACTGCTCTCCCTCTCATGCTGTGCTTCTCTTCATTGCTGCTGCCCTCCCCCCACCCCATGTGAGTTATACAGCATGGGGACCAGGCGGCCAAGACAACTTCCAAACCTGCCAAAATACTGCATCATGGGATGCCATAATAAATATTATTACAAGCCAGTGAATATGCAAGGGAAGGAGCCTATACAGGACACAAACATTTAACTAGACAAATGCCAAACATTATCTCTGGAAAAAAATTATGGACACATGTAACACGTAATATCATGAGGATCTCGTATCACCTTCCTATGACAATTATATTCTTCAGGACATAAATGAAGACATTTCCTGCTGGAAACCTGTGACAGCTTTCTCCCCTGTGCTTAGCGATGACTCAAAGACTTAATATAACTATTCTTAAAAATAGAAAATGGTTTGATAATTAAAGTCAGTTTGAAACAGCTCCAAAAAGAATGAGGTACGGGATTTTAGTCAGAGAGAAGGAGAGAGAATTCAAAAGAACTTTCAACTGACATTATAGAAGTGATAA